AGCAATTAAAAGGGACCCGATCACCAGTAATGGCAGGTGACAGTAATGGGAATGACTTAACTGACAGGCTTAACAGTTTTTCATATTAAACTTTTTTGGTATGTTATCGCCCATCCTTTGGTCATTGGCACTAGTTAAAACACAGCTGTTAACTGGAGCAGGGAATCCTACTGGGATGTCATGTAAAGAATTCCTTTACCACATAAGAAAGGCACATATCAATACTTGGTGACTTAACCACTACACAGTATACATCATTACATCTCTTGGTGTACTCAGTCTTGTTAACACATAACTATACTGCTGTTAGGCTTAAAATGTGCATATATTTGCTTACATAAAATACCTCGATTTTTGAAACATGAATGCAAAAATATACTTAGTAACTAATAACTATTCCACCCAAGGCAGAGTATGTTGCTAGTGGTGGATGTACTGGGTACAACAGTAGCCCTGCACTGCAAGAGCTGCTACAGGGCCTTGTTCCCTTCCACATGTACCCACTGGCTGCTGTCCTATAGCTGCATGTTACACTTGGCCACTGTCCCATTTGTGTGCACATACCAGCTTCTATCACCTCTCTGCACAGACACATTGGCTGTGACAGTGACAGTCCTGCCAGGTGCCTTGCCCAAGGAGCCTCAGCATTGTCCCCCTGAGGCTGACACAATGAGCAAGGACAGCCCATACTATGGACACCACATGCGCAGTGAGCTGCTCCAGGCTGTAGTGCTTCTCAGGCTGTACTTTTCTTTCTGCCCCAGCATGTGCCCAGTGTCAGATGCATTAGCCCCCGCTCCCAAGCTGAACCACTGCCAGCACAGGGATGCCAACATGGGAAAGGCCCTGCGCTACCTTGACGCCAACTGGATGTCCTGCAATTCAAGCTCCATATACCATCTTCCATTCAGGTGAACAAGCAGTGCTGGGTTTGAGCTCCACAGCAGGAGGATGTGATCTGTACCATGGCTGTGGTCTTGGCACCTGGGCCTGCACTCTTTTTCCCTGTTCCTAAACTCCCTTGGAGTGGGCACTGTGAACCACCTGGAAGTGGTACAGGCCACTGTCACATTCATGACAGGAGGCCATAAGCAGGAATTCAGAAGGTTGATTCTGGAATAGATTCTTTCAGTATAAAGGAAAAACTGTGACACTTAAAGTGTTACAGATATTGCAAAAGCAAGGCTGGTCACAATTTCTCCAAATGGTGCCAAAAAGTTCAACTTGACCTGGAAGGCACACTTCCACCAGTACTCTCCAGAGTACCTGGGATGTACTTTGTCTCTGGAGAAGAAGTCGCTGGCCACACAGGGCTGTGCAAACTGGTGAGTCAGGGACCGTGGTCTCAGGGATCCAAATGCCAAGCATCATGAGTGACAGGTGGGCTCTGTCCTGGTTGGCTGCTGCACCAGATCCAGGCCCCAGCAGGGATGGCTGAAAGGGGGTGGGAGTGGGGCTCACTCTTTTAAATAAAACCTAACAGAGATACAGTAAAGAGTGTCGAAGAGTAATTTGAACAAATCAAATGCTAACATGCATTGTAAATCAAGGAACTATTAGTTTTGTGTAAGTATGTGTGGGGCTAGGAAGAAAGTGTGTCCTCTTCCAGAGACCCATGCAGGAATTCTGAGGAAAGTAAGCATTTTCTTTAAAATACTCCTGTTACAAAACTCTGAAGAGAGAGAGAGGGGTAGAGCTGGAGTGGCTGAGTACCAGTAATGCTGAAATGGGATGGCAGGGGCTTTTACACTTTTCCTTCTTTCTTTGTATATTCTGAAAACTTCAGAATTAACCATGAAACAATTATCTCTAGAAAGTGAGATTCTATTAATGGAAAACACAAACGATACAACCATTTCATAGGAGGCCCAGCAGACAGTGGTGTAGAGAGGAATTTATTCGTACTCTCCAAGAGAGGGCCTGATGAGATCTTCTGCGGGTAGCTCCACACCTCCAAAGGAAAGGCCTGCTCCCCACAGTACTTGCTTCAGCAGGGCAGGCGTCCCAGCCTGGCAGCAGAGTGCTGCTGCCCAGACTGGACGGTGAGCTCCCTTCATAGAAAAAGACAACTTTTGTCACTTCACGGCACCGAAGGGGACATCTGTTAGGTAACAACTAACAAAGGGAAGGGCAGCCATCAGCCACCCTATGAATGCTAACATTAGGAAAAACAGTTCAGTGTAATACATATTAAGCCTTCTCCCTACACAAACTCAATGTTTATTTTTGGAGTGACACATTGGGAGAAAAGAAGCTGCACCAAACAGTGTTTCCAACCACCGCAAGTCCATCACCACCTTCTACCCCAGTCACACATCCACAGGCAGCAGTAGCTGGCAAGGGAAGCTGCACCCTGCTTCAACACGATGGACAAGGTAAGTCTAAATAAACACACAGGCACTGGCCAAAGAGATTAGTGAAGTGCTAAAACTGTGGTTTAATGAGGCCACAAAAATGGAGAATTACACGATTACACAATCTAGTTAGCCACAAACCCCTTCCTTGTACACAACCAATAACAATGAGCAGAGACACCGACGTATGAGGGACGCCCAGACCTCCAGGAGACCCCGAGCAAGGAGGACTCAGCAGACACAGTGAACCCACCCACGCAGGGAGCCTGAGGCCTCGCACACAAATGGAAATGAGTGCTCAAAGTTTCTGCAGGACATTTTGGGAAGGAAATAAAATCTAAAATATAGGAGTATACTACTACATAAAATCAGAAAGGACAACCACCACCAAGTGCACTTGGACAAATTCAATGGTGTCTGACCAGGGTTGGCCTCAGTCTGGCATCTGTGTGGCACTGGTCACATGGCAGTGCTTTCTCCTAAGGTCCACTGACAACACCTGCAGTCTATGTCATAAGCATCAACCCAGTTTGACAACGATGTGGGCCAGGGAGCCCTCCACACAGTACCCAGCAGGACCACCTCAGCACGCTGCTCACTGATGCCTCCCACTGCCTTGAGACAGAGGGATGTCCACAGCAGCACTCACTGAAGACGGCCAGCAGCACGTAATGCAAGGAACCTGATGTGAGAGAATTATCATTTCTAGGGAAAGAGTGAGCCCAAGCCATTATATACGCTGGGACATTCCTTGTATTTTATCATTTTTAAGAAACAACTCTCCCTGTCAGTTTACACCATGACTCTCAGGCCCATTCATGGGTCTGGTTCTACTTTACTGCAACCATACCATCTAGCACAGCCCCAACGAAGACGAACAGAAGAAAACACTTCCCATTTACTCAGTACATCTTCAAACCAATACCCTTGTAAGCCGGCCATCTGAACACAGCACTGTCTCTGGACCTCAAGTCAGAAAAGAAAGGAGGCCTTTGGCACTGGAATAGTTCAAACAACATCCTTGGCATGCAGAAGGTTGTGGGTCCACCTGCTTTTTTGTGGTTAGGATTCCACAGAGGCATTAAGTACAGATTTTGTGCAGTACACTAGCAGCACAAATTAGAGAAAACCTCCATCCTAATTGACAATGAACAGCCTGGTTCACCTCAAAAACAGCATCAACAGGCATAATACAAAGAATCCATTAGATCAGCATGAGGGCAGGGTGTGCATGTAGCTCAATGGTAGAACGTGTGCTTAGCATGTAAAAGTCCCTGGGTTCAAACTCCAGCACCACCACCAACATCACCACCACAACAAAAAAACCTTAACTAGAGCTGTGTAATGTTCAAAACATAGCACCGGTTTTTGAGTCAAAATATGTACCAAGATACCAAAGCCCCATAGGCTTATTTATTAGCCTCCAGGACTAGCTGGAAATGTTTATCTACTTTAAACCGGATGGATGCACAGCTTTTAACACCACTGCAAGTAAAATTTAATTTACCGATGTTCAAAAAACTGTAATAAACTAGGAATTAAGAAAAAAATCTATCTGGCATGAACTACATCATTTCCTACTCTAAAGCAAATGATTCTCACTCTAACTGCATGGGTTGGAAAATGGGGGCGGTCTCTCTGTGAGAGTCTGGAAGGGTCAAGATGAATTTTTCCCTTTCTGATCGCCTGGAGTCAAATTCTTTAAATTGTTCTGAAAATCAAAAGGGACTCTCTCTCCACCTGTCTGTGTGAAAGGGTTGCTGAAGAAAAGGCTCATATCCAGGGGGGCCTCAGTCTCAGAGCCCCATGAGCTCGAGTCTGTGCTGCTGGAGTCTTCGGCCGTGGTGGGTGGGTAGCTGAGCTGCTCTAGCTGGTCGATGATATCAGAGAACTGAAAGGCAGAGCTGGACTCAGAGCGGATCGAGTAGGCAGGGAAGTTGACCATGGAACTGGCCTCAGACTGATTAGCCGAGCTGGAGGTGTGTAGAGACAGCCCGCCGTGCAGAGGCATGTTATGCAGTGAGCTGTTTTCGGACTGGTTGTTTCTAAGTGAGCTAGTGTCAGAAGGACTCAAGAGGCTCTGCATCAGGCTAGCTTGTGCCTTCACTTCAAAGAGCTCTGAGGTATCTGAGGGGTGTGCATTGCCATTGAAGTCACTTCCTTCCCCAAATTCAAACTCATCTTCTACATTCATGTCTACTGCCTCAGTGGAATACCTGTCTGGACTGGACTGGGCGGACTCTGGGTGCCTGAAGGCATCCAGACCATGCAGAGGGGATGCAATGGGCTGGGCCAGTGCCCGGGGCCCTGGTGGGGCTAAAGGGCTATATGGAAAGGAAAATGCCTCTGAGCCTCCAGCAAAGAAGGAGATGTCTGCTGGGTCATCGTCTATGAACTCTTCAGACACCTGCAGCTGTGCATTTGTCAATGTGAAAACAGCGCCTCCCCCATGGCGTTGTCGGCCACACCCGTACTCCCCACTGGACAGGAACAAGTCTGGAAGGATGTCGTCTTCGCCAATGTCATTTCCACTAGCAGCTCTGAGCACCCTGCCTGCCCTCCCCACATCTAGGTCTAAGGCACTGAGACTCTGTCCCGTGGGACACACAGAACCACGGCTGCTCACAACAGGACAAAACCCGACACCTGGACCAGACTGGAGTGCAGGGGACCCGGGTGGCTGGGCCAATGGGGTGCCGGGGCCTTCGGCTGCTCCACTGCTCCTCCTTGTGGCCATATTCTTGACAGCTGCACTCGAGATGCAGGGAGCCAGGGGATCTGCGAGGGAGCTGCTGCTGTCCTTGAAATCAGGCCGGCCAGGTGGGGACACAGGGGAGGGAGCGAGCGGATAAAAGGAGGCGTTTGCTGAAGACAGAGAGGCTGAAGATCTCAAGCCCTCGGTAAATGAGATGCTCTGAGGGTCAAAATTAAGAAGGAAAAAAGGAACATAAAAAATTACAAATCACCATTAGAAGTTGCAAAGCCAGCCTGGTACAGTGCTGCACACCCCTAATCCCAGCTACTCAGAAGGCTGAGGCAGAAGGATCATAAGTTTTCAGGCCAGCCTGGGCAATGCAGTGAAAGCCTGTTTCAAAATAAAATTTAAAAGTAGGGCTGCAATGTACTTCAGCAGTAGAGTACTTACCTTGTATGTTAAAGCCCTGGATTCACTCCCTAGTACTGCAACCAAACAACCAACCAACAAAAAGTGGAATTTGAAGAGCCAACTATTGCTCGTTTGTTTGCTTGTTAGGAAGGATGACCCACCAGACTGTCCCTTTTGGAACAGAAGATTTGTATGTGGACAGTATTGCAAGCCAACCCAGACCACATATTTATAAGCCCTTAGAGTTCTGTTTTCTTTCCTTATAGCGTGAAACTCACACAGTAAAGAAACCGAACGAGGGCAGCCCTCTCCAGTGCACCTCTCATCACCCTGAGGTTGCAAGCAGATGTGTTTGGCATCCAGTTTCACTAAGAGGTACCAGACCCCTAGCTGGACAGGAAGCAAGTGGTTTCACTCAGCCAAAAGTCCCTCTACCGCCCCATGCCAATGCCAGGGCACAAGGCCAAGCCTGGGCCCTAAGCCTCAAGGAAGGGACAGAACAGTCCACTTGTGGATGCGGTGGGAGGCTGGGCACAGTCAGTGTAGAGTGGGGCATCTTGACAGCAGAAGTGAGAAGTCCCCAAGCAGGACAAGAAGATCGGAGGGGCAGTGAGGCAGCCACACGGTGGCACCTCTCCACGGTGCCCTAGCTATGTCCTCACCTTGATTCCACGTGCAGAGACACAGGTGTGTCCTCTCTGCATGCTAAGCACCCCCTCATGTGTGCTACACTGAGATGCAGTCATGCGTCAGAAAAGCCTTCCTACACGTAGTACTCTAACACCACTAGGGGGTCATGAGGTGAATATGCCGGGACAGAACCGAGTAACTTCTGTGCAGCTTCACACAGGCAGTGCACACAGCAATGTGAGCAAAACACCACTGCTGGAGGCCAGAGCCAACCTTGTAAAATAGCACTCATGTCATGGGCCATAAATATAAGCTATTTTCCAGAGTCTATCATGTCATCCTTTCTTAACCTTCCAACCATACTCATTTTTTGTGGCTTTTAAAATACAAGGTAAGAGCCAGGCATGGTGGAGATGGATTGCCTGTAATCCCAGCATGCAGGAGGCTGAGGCAGGAGGCTGAGGTAGGAGGATTTCAGTGAGTTGGAGGCCAGCCATACATAGTGAGTTCAAGGTCAGCTTGAACTGCATAGTGAGACTATCTCAAAAAACAAAAATAAAATAAATAATAATAATAATAAAATATAAGAGAACTGAAAGCTTAAATGTAGTTTTGAAAAATTTTCTGTTTTTTGAGATAGGGTCTCACTAAGTTGTCCAGACAGGGCTCAAACTTGCAGTCCTCCTGCTTCAGCCTCCCCTGCACTGAGATTTCAGGCATGTGCCACTATGCTTGGCTTTTAGATTTTAAGACAAGGCCCTCTAAATATGGTTTTTAGCCTATTCATACTTTGAAATAAATTTGAATTTTGTAAAGGAATAGTTAATACATTCACTTTTAATTCCAAAAGACTCTTCAGAGACACAACCTGGAAGAGTTAAAGGTTCTGATTTAAAGGACCCATTAGAGAAAAGCTAGAGATACATGAACGTTAAGATGCGAGGTACATGGGCTGGGGATTTAGCTCAGCGGCAAAAAGTGCCTGCCTGGCAAGCGCAAGGTCGTGCGTTCGGTTCCCGGTACCGGAGAAAAACAAACAAAAAAAAAAGATGCGAGGTACAAGTGGGACTCCTGGAAGTGCCATTCACTATAAACGAGAGGTCATCAAAAAATCACTGTACATAAATCAAAACCATAGAAAGGCGATGTAGCAGCATGAGGAAAGAGATGACAACCCTGCCTCAAAGTGGTCACATTAAATGTGCAATCATGTTTGCATGTGGAAGTTAATATGCAAACAGGAAAGCAGAAGAGACTGCTGTGAGGTAGGTTAGGAACAGAACGGTCAGCACAAGGGCATGGACAGCTGCTGTCTCACTTGGGACATTCCTTCAAATGTTTTTTATGAAGTGTCTCTGTGTGCAGCCAAGTATATCTGTACTTTAACACAGTTGCCAAACACATCATAGCAAGAATGTCTGCATAATATGTATCTTTTCTTTTTCTTTTTCTTTGGCCATACTCCAATCGAACCAAGGGTCTTAATTCACACTGAGCTATATCCCTACCCCTTTTCCATTTTGAGAGAGTCTAAGTTGCTAAGTTGCCCAGACTGAGTTCAAACTTATAATCCTCCTGCCTCAGTCTCCCAGAGTGCTAGGATTACAGTTGTGTGCCACCACACCTGGCTTCACTCTTTTTTTACTCTTTATATAGACAAATGGATTTCATTTTGGTAGAATCATACATAAACACACATACTCTGATCTTTTTCGTTCTCCCATGCTCTCTGCCCTGCCCTTCTTCATGTCTCGGTGGCATATTTCAGTGCATATGACCCACCCCCCCAGTACTTACCCTACAACCCCTCCCCAGCCCCTTCCCTCCCTCCTTCCATCCTTCCTTCCTCTTGTCTATTAACAGCCTCCTTTCTACCTTCTTGTAATGTCCTTTAGATTCTACACATTAGGGAGAACAGTGATACTTGGCAGAGTCTGGTTTATTTCACTCAACACAATAGCCCCTGGATCCATCCATTTTCCCATCAATAACAGAATTATGTTCTTCCTTATAGCTGAACAAGACTCCACTGTGCATATACACATTCTTTTTATCCATTCATCTGCTGACGGACACCTAGACTCGCTCCATATCTCGGCTATTGTGAATTGTGCCACAATAAACAAGGATATGCTGGTATCCCCTGGCATGCTGACTTGAACTTCTCTGGATCAAGTGGTAGCTCTAAAGTTTTTAAGAAACCTCCATACTGATTTCTACAGTGACTATAATAATTTAAATTCCTCCTAGCATTTATTGTTTCTTATATTCTTGACAATGGCCACTTTGACTGAGATGGAATCTCAGTGTAGTTTCATTTGTGTTTACCTAATGGTTAAAGATGCTGAACATTTTTTCATGTACTTATTAGTCATTTGTACTTCTATTTTGGCTTTTTTGGGGGGGTACTGGGAATTGAACTCAGGACCTCACACTTACCAGGCAGGCACTGCACCACTGGGCTATATCCCCAGCCCTGTACTTTTACTTTGAAAGTGTCTATTCAATTCATCTGTCCACTTACTGACTGTACTATTTGATATTTTGGTGTTAAGTTTTTGAGTTCTCTATATATTCCAGACATTAATCTCTCTTGAAAACAATAGTTGGTCAAGATTTTCTCCCACTTTGTAGGCCAGTGGCAGCACACCAATGACACACATGATGCAGTGGGCACACAGACCCCCCTCCAAGTTGCCCCAGGACTGCCCCAGCAGCTGAGCATTTAGGTTTAATTGCTGTGTTGGCACTTTGCAATAAATAAGTGGGTTTTGGATTGCAGTTTGGGCACTCAGTCTCTACAAGGTTTGCCATCACTACTATAGGCTTCTCTTCACTTTATTAGTTGTTTCTCTGGTTGTGCAGAAACTTTTTAATTTGATGTAGTCCCATTTGTTGGTTTTTGCTATTATTTCTTGTGCTACTACAGTCCTATTCAGGAAGTCTTTGTGCCTGTGGCTTCCAGTATTTCCTGTTTTCTTTTAGGAGTTTGAACGTTTCAGATCTTACACCTAGATTTTTGATCCATTTTCAGGTGATTTTTGAAGAGGATAATAGGGATCTAGTTTCAATATTCTACAGGTACATAGGAAGTAGCTGAAGCTGGAGATCAATCACATGTGTGGGACTGGAGCAAGGCCAGTCCCGAGAACAAAGAGCACCCGAGGCAAGCCATGTGAACAAGCTGCTCCAGCTGCAAGTACACGGAGAGCCTGAGGCAATCCAAGTGAACAGGTTGCTAGGCAGAGGGGTGTCACATGACATCAACCTGTGGAGCATACAAATAAATGCACTGTGGTGGCTGAGCAATTCTTTTCTCTCTCATTAGGAAAGGAGGTTCCACCTGACCTGAGCTTTCTGTATTCTGACTCTGGTTTTTATTTCTTTATCCTCTACTGTCCTTCATCCTGAGAGTTTCTGAGAGCTGCACTGGATGTGGTACAGGTAGATATCCAGTTTTCCCAGCACCATTTGTTTATGGTGCTGTCATTTCTCCAATGTGTATTTTTGGCTCCTTTACCCAGAATAGGATGGTTACAGTTGCATGGTTCTGTTTCTTTAGTTTGATCCTTTAGTTTGATCCACTGGCTTACATGTCTATTTTTTGTGCCAGTACCTTACTATTTTTGTTACCTAGGCTTTGTAGAAGAGTTGGAAACAGTATTATTAAAGCCTACAATCTTTCTCTTTTTGCTTAGAATTGCCTTGGTTATTCTGGGACTTTTGTGCTTCCATATGAGTTCAGGACTGTTTTTTCTGGTTCTGTGAAGAACGTCATTCGTTTTTTTTTGTTTTGTCTTTTTGAGACAGGGTCTCGCTATGCAGTTCAGGCTGACCTTGAGCTCACTTTGTAGCCCAGGCTGATCTTGAACTCACAACAATCCTCCTGCCTCAGCTTCCCAAGTGCTGGGATTATAAGTGTGCTACCACACCCAGAATCATTGGTATTTTGATGGGGACTGCCCTGAATCGGCGGATGGCTTTTGGTAATATGGCCATTTTGACAATATTAATTTTGCTAATTCATCAACATGGGAGGTCTTTCCATCTGCTGGTATCTTCTTTACTTTTTCTCTTCAATGCCATGAAATTTTTCATTATAGAGGGCTTTTTTTTTTTTTTTTTTATTAAGGTCTTTAATCTCTTTTTTTTAGATTGATTCCTGGGTATATTACCTTATTTGAAGCTATTGTGAATAGAATTTGTTTCCTAATTTCTTTTTCTGTCCATTATTGGTATGTAGTAAAGCTATCAATTTTTAATGTTGTTTTGTTTTGAGACAGGGTACCACTAAGTAGTTCTGACTGGCCTTAAACTATGTATTTCAGGCTGGCCTCCAATTCACAGAGATCCTCTTGCCTTAGTCTCCTGAGTGCTGGGATTACAGGTATGTGTCACCATACCCAGCTTAATGTGGTTTTATATATCCCACTACTCTGCTGAATTCCTTCATCAGTTCTAAAAATCTTGTGGTAGTCTTTAGAATCTTCTATGATCTGCAAATAAGAAAAATTTGACTTCTTCCTTTCCTACTTGTATCCCTTTAAGTTTTGTCTTGCCTAATTGTTCTAAAATTTTAAGAACTATACTGAATAAGAACCTTTAAATTGCCTCAGTAGTGATAATGAATCCCCCTCACATGAACACAGCTATCATGCAGCTAGGAAGACACTCTGGCATGGGGACAGTTGTTCAGGACCCCTAGTGGGTTCTAAGCAACACCATGATGCACTGCTGGTCCACTTAGAGCCCCTTTCTGAAGACAAGAGTCCCAGAGCAAGAGCTGCTGCAGGACCAATTTTGGTAAGTTACAACACTGCCAGATGACTTTCTGGAGGAGGATACATAATTAACACTGCTTTGGTTTTACCAGAAGAGACTGACCTGCTTTGGCAGGTCTGCAGTCAGAGCACGTACTGATGTCTGGGTCTTGCCGTGCCACCTGCACAACAGAGAAAAACCATGAGCAGCCAAACCTTCCTCACCTACATGCCTGTTTCTAGCGCAGCAAGTATGCGCTGTATTCATGAAGAAAAGCTCACACAGGAATGACAAGGGTGTCTAAGCTGGGCATGGTGGTGCATGCCTATAATCCCAGCACTCAGGAGGCTGAGTCTGAGGCCAGCCTGGGCTGCAAAGTGAGATCAAGGACACCCTGAATGCATAGTAAGACCCGGCCTCAAAAAAACAAACAAAAAAATAGGGGCATCTGGGCAGGATAACAGGAAATAAGAATCCAAATAAACAAAGGGCCCAAAAAGAGAAAAAATTATATACCCACACAAATGGAAAAATTCAACATGAATTTTCAGGTTGAAACATTACCATACAATGTAAAACTATTATATATGGTAAGCCATATTGACTAGAAGCTAAGAAGTAACATCTATACATGTATACAAAATCTATTTAGATACTACAAATCCATCTTTTTTTTAACACTGAAAAACATGCTTATTTGAAATGAAGTAAAAATTAAAAATATTAAACTATTAATCCTACAAGCCTGCTTTATATCATGAAGATCACAGAACTTACCTTTCATATGGAATTCTTTTCATCCCACCATCTTTGATGTAATCTACTAGTTGCTTCTGAGTTCTTCCACTGTGAATAAAGGTTTAGGTCTTTAGAAAAATAACTTAAGTAATTCACAGCAAGGTTTTCAGAGTTAAGGACAGAGGAAAAGTAAAACTTGCCCATCTTCTCTCATAAATACATATATATTTCATAGTTACTTTCTATAATGTTTTATAAGTATAAATAACGTTCTAGGCAAACTTTTTGTTAAGCTTGTTTTCTTACTATTTTACTTGACATGCTTTCCCCAGCTACTGTGCTTCACAAGGACTGCCCATGAACGTACTTCTCCCCTAGCCTATGATATGCCTCTCTTGACCAAGCAGGTGACACAAGGCCCTACCTGTATCTGAAGGAAGAGCCCCGGCTGAAGAAGACGGCTTTTGCCTTTGGTTTAGGCTGGTCAAGAAGCCTAAAAAAGGTGTGGTACTCTACACAAATCTTCCAGAAGTTCTTACACTCATCTCTGCTACCCAACAAGAATTCTAGTGTGTCCTGGTAGGGTCCCTGGGAATGAAATACAAAGATTTAAGTAGCAACCTACCCAATAAAGTACTGGACAAGAACAAATATATTTAGGAGATCACACAACAGGCAGTTCCACAATTAATCTATCAGGGGGGTTGGGGATTTAGCTTAGTCACACAGCACCTGCCTAGCAAGTGCGAGGTCGTGAGTTTGATTCCTGGTACTGGGAAAAAAAAAAACAAAGAAAAATCTATCAGGAAGCTTTCTAAAAATTGTATCGTAAGACTTCTGACTTCATTTACTAGAGTAAAGCAGAAGATAGCACTATGCCTGATGATCTGAGGTGGAGCTGAGGCAGTGACACCATCCCTGGGGAGCAGCTGCAAGTACAGACTGCCATTAGCAAAGGGGTTGGATGGTACAGAGACCACAGTGAATCCACTGCTTACAGATGCTATCAAAACCCTAGCAGTGGGTAGAAAGCAACAAGCAAGCTGCATGTGGTGGCAGGCTTTGTAGCGGTGAGCAACTGGCTGTGCTTCACTGGCACAGCTGCATCTGGTGGAGGCTGCAGGTCAGACCCCCACACCTGCGTCAGTTGGCAGTCAGCTCGTTCATTATTTCATTTACTGCTACCCCCTGCGCCTCTTCCCCTCACCACGCACTTGGCTCAGTCGTAGATTGCACAAGCCCACAGATAACCCTGGCCAAAATGAGTGAAAAGTACACGTCACTGGAGAGCTTCTCGGAACAGGAGAAAGACCCAGTGACGAGACAGCAGACGAAGCTAAGATGCCAGCAGGAGAAAGCTGCATTTAAAAGAAAACACTGAGTCCTACTTAAAATATGGATTCACTGCAACAGGTGTTTTGTGTTTTCCAAACCCATTTTGTATAATATGTGGTGATAGCTACCCAACAAAGCCAGGAAACCTTCAACACTGCTTTGCCATATATGTCCAAGGACCCTGCATTAAAAGCCAAACCTTTGGAATTTTTCAAAAGAAAAAAACATGAACATAAAGAACAGATACAGTTATTGAAGGCTATCGCTTCATCAAATGTATCTGCACTGAGAGAATCATTCTCAGTGGTTCATAACATTGCTAGAGCTAAGAAGCCCTCTACTATTTGTAAAGAGTTGGTCCTGCCTGCTGCTATAGGGGACACTTGTCATGAGCTTTTAGGAGAGGCTACAGTTCAAAAGGTGGCATGTGATCCTCTTCTGCCTGTACCAAAACAGACAAGGTGGTGAAGTAGCAGGAGCTACGAAGGCACAACCGTCAGGGTTAATGAATCGCTGTGGTACGTAAGCCTATTGATGATGACAACAAGGTAGCACTTGTTTCTGTGTGAAATGTTTTTCGGGAGAATGTGCACGAGGATATATTATGTGCATTTTTCTTGCCAACTGACACCACAGCTGCAGAACTACTCAAGTCTTTTTCCTGATTACACATCAGGAAAACAAAACAGGGCATTTTGTGTTAGTACACGCACACACATCACAGCTGCCATGACTGGATGGCTTTTTGGTTTCACTGCTCATGTCACCTCTGAAAGTGAGTCTACCCAATGTGTCATCCACAGAGAAATGTTCGGTGGCTGAAATCTGACACCTGGACTTAACACTTTGTAGGATATGATTAAAATTATCAACCACATTAAAGTACATGCCCTTAACTCATGTCTGTCCATGCAGCTCTGTGAAGATACAGATATGGAGCAAAACATCTTCTCTTCTACAGTGAAGTGAGGTGACTTTCTAAAGCAGGTCACTGACCAGAGTTTCTGAGTTATGAGAGCTGTTCCAGAGATTTAAAAAAAAAAAAATCACTACTGGTAGCAGATTTCACTGATACATAATGGGTGGTAAAACTTGCTTACTCATGTGACATATTCAACCTGCTCAATGAACTCCATCTGTCACTTAAGGAGAAAACAATGATTGTGTTCAAGTTAGCAGATAAAATGGCTGCATTCAAAGCCAAACTGGAATGATGGGGTTTTATGGTTTGTGTCTGGGTGTTCCTCCAAAACCTCATGCAGTCATGGAGTCAGGCTTTGAGGAGGCAACTGAATCTAGAGTTTGTGATTGGTTCATTGTCTAGTGCTGGGATTGGGAATGTGAGTGCTATAACCATCTTAGGGCAGGCAGCCTGCACATAACATAAGGGAGGAAAAGAGGTTGGCTCCTCCCTTTTTGCTCTTGCTACTTTTGTTGTCTTCTGGTCAACATGAACTGTTGCTCCTCTGTTATGCCACCCTGCCTTGGAACCAGCTGATTATGGACTGAAACCACCACAAACTTTTCCTTCCTTAATTTTGGGCATCGGGTATTCTGTTTCAGCAATGAGAGAAAAAAGTAACCAAGATGGGGTGAGAAGCGAACACTGGGATTTCTGACATTTCAAACCACAGAGATTTTGAAAGACACTGAGCCAAGGCCTAGCAAATGCATGATCACTTGTTTTAGCTTTCAAAGAGTTAAGCATAACTTCCCAACCACAAAAGACCCTTGAATTGGGAAGGAATAGGTCTATGACCCAACTGTAAATAAGCCAACTTTGTCTGTGCCAGAAAAGAATCAACAGCTTGAGATCACAAACACTGGTGGCCTCAGATGTATGTGTCAGCCAGAGATACAGCTTAAGGGCACAGGGCCTGCCTGGCAAGCATAAGGTCCTGAGTTTGACTCCCACTACAAAAACAAAAAAAAAGTATGTTTGAGACAACTTCAAATGTCATATTCTGGATTCAAGTCAAGGTGGAATATCCTGAGGCTGCCACAAAAGCACCGACAGGCCTGGTTCCATTTCCAACATTCTATCTTTGTGAGTCAGGGTTTTCTGCAGTGACAGCAACTACAATGACATTATGTGGACTGGACGTGAGTAACACAACTTCAGGTGTTGATGTCCCCCAACACCCCAAAATGAAACAAACTCAGGGCTCCCACTAATTCTGCATTATGGTGAATTATATAATGATTTCATGATATACTACAATACAATAATAAAAATAAAGTGCACAATATATGGGAAAATTGTCCTCCCTCAAACCTATCCCTGGGGACAAAAAGGCTGGGGACTTCTGCCTGCCTTGGGGAAAATTCCTAGAAGTGAAATTCTGAGCTTAAAGACAATGTGTATTTTTTACCTTTCTGATATGTTTTACCAAATTACTTTTCACAAACACTGTAATACTTTGGTGTCTCTATTTAGTCTTAAAAACCTATGTACTTGGGAAGATACCTGGGTGCTGGGAAGCCTCAGTGAGCTGCCTGGGCATCCCAGACCCTGTGCCCTGCCTCCTGCTGCCATTGTGGGAATGACCCTGAGTGCTGGGAAACCTAGGGTGCCTCAGTAAGTAGCCCAGGAGGGTTGACACAACACGCTCTGCCTCCCACTGCCACTGTAGGAACGACCCTGAATCCCGGAAAACCTAGGGGGCTTTGAAAATGACAAAACGAAGGACAAAAATGCAATCTCAGCCCTCCACCCCACCCAGAACACGTCCAGGAAACATCAACATAGAAGACCATGGAAGTCACCCACCTGAAATTTCTGAAATGATAGCAAATGAAGTAAACAACGAACTACACATCAGGCTATAGAGGAGATCAGATCAGAAATAATCACTCAGGTAAAAAAAGAAATGACAACCATAATGAAAGAATTGCTCTGTGTATCAAAAGAAGAAAGATAAAAAATAGAGGAGCACAGAAAAATGATGGAAACC